AGCGTGGCGTGTTCTCTCCGTCCAAGTTCCTGCTCAGCCCTTTCCTTCCCTCCCAGCAGGTTATTTACAGAGGAAGGGGTGGGAATGGCACTGGGAAAGTGCTCCTGAGAGCAGATGGCTTTCTCTTTTTTAATTGCTTTTGCTTTCAGTTCCATTTTCAGTTATCGGGGTTGAATGTTGCAAGGGCAATAAGCCAGCCCTGAGGGACAACCCCAGCATCACGGCCTTTCACCTGACTCTCAGGAGGAGGGTTTATTACTCATTTTATCTTTTATTTCTTTAACACTCCCCCTCCATTCGGCCTTTGCATCAACTCCTAGCTCTGTCCTGTGATGGTGAGTGGGGCTTATTTGGGTTTTTTAGGAGTTTTTCCCACTGATGGAGGTTTAGACTTGAACAACACTTATCTGGCCCATTTTTGGCTCCAAGGTGCCGTGCCACCAAGCACACAAACCTTACCAGAGAGATGGATCCCCTGTTCATCTTGGGGGTTGCTGAAGCCCTTGGTGGTGGGGTGCCATGGAGACCCCCCATTTTCCCTCACACCGCTCTTTCCTTTGAGGCTGGCCCCTGCCAGCACCCCGAAGCGTGGCAAAGCTGCGGGCTGGGATGAGACCTGGGGGTCCAGTGGCCACCCCGCCTGGTGTCCCCAAACTGCTCCCCCACAGTGCATCCTCTCAGTGGGCACCAGAACCCTCATCCCCTCATGTCCCCTCAGGGGGCTGTGAGGGACCCAGCACCATCTCCCCTCGCCCCTGTCACATCCCCTTGCTGAACCCTGGGCGGAAAAGGACCCAGCACCACCTCCCTTCGTGTCTCCTAAACGGGTCATGAGGGACCCAACGCCATCTCTCCTCACGCCCTCATGTCCCCTCGCTGTCCCCAACACCCTCTCCCCTCAAGTCCCCTCACTATGCCAACACCATCTCCCTTCACACCCTCACTGCACCCAATGCTATCTCCCCTCATGTCCCCTCACTCTAACAGTCCCCTCAGTGGGTTGTGAGGGACCCAGTGCCATCTCCCCTCATCCCCTTGCATCCCCTTGCTGAGCTCAGGGCTGTGAGGGACCCAACGCCATCTCCCTCTCGGTTCCTCACTGGGTCATGAGGGACGGAGGGCCACCTCCCCTCATATCCCCCTGGTGTCCCCTCACTGTCCCCAGCGCCTTCTCCCCTCACATCCCCCTGGTGTCCCCTCACTGTCCCCAGTGCCATCACCCCTCACGTCCCCTCGTTGAGCCCCGGGCCGTGAGGGACCCAGCGCCATCTCCCCTCGCGGGCTCTCGAGGGACCCAGCGTCACTCCC